AGAAGAAATAAACAGGAACAAAATTATCACAAATTTAAAAAAAAAATCAAATTATTAACATACTTTGGACCAACAAACAAAAGTCAAAACTTCAAACTCACTTGGGAATCATCCTAAAGACAAATAAGATAAAATATCAAAATCAGGAGTTTATCAGCTTCTCTGTAATATGTCAGACAAAAAGATGTTTTGTTACGAGAATTTCAGTTTCAATCCTGGAAACTGAGACAATAATTTTATTATTGTCTTCTTCAAAGGAACTGAACAATATTTACGAAAATTCCTGACTTTTAAGGTTTAGTAATTAAACTTAAAAACTCGCTTAAAACCTAGTTAAATATTTACATGTTAAACAATTATTCAGGTCGAAAAAATAAAAATTAGTTAGGAATTTACGTCATTAAACAAAATTGAAAATTAATTGAGATGGGTAATTACTTTAATTAGTAGGTATCTACCTAAACGTTCAAAACTTTATGAGTGTTTTCCTATTTGTTTATTTCCATAATTTCAAGAAAATTTAATTGTTTAGATTTGTTTTTATGCAAGGTTTCAAGTCGTTACTGGTGGACAACACTCTATTATGCAAAGCAAAAATACGCCTAAAAATTTTTATAAAAATATCAACACTTCATAAATTTTATCCAATTCAAACTTTATCAATAAAGTACCAATTTTTTGACTTGTCTCATCATCATCTCCAAAACTGAAGTAGACGATCCTGTTTTGTCTGCTTTTTTTATGAACAGAACCAGAAATTTTAAAATACCTATTTTAAAATTATACACGACATGCATAAAGTAGATAGATACATAAGCGATTTTTATTTGATCATTTGAAACATAAAAAAAAGTAAAAAGTCGATTTAGGGCCGGTTTAGCAATAGAGGGTTACCTCATGAGTTACGGATAACCTTGGGTCAAAGTTGTTACAAGTGTTTATCCATCCAGGGTCAACTGCTAACTCGAAAGTTATTCCATGAAAAAGTTAACCCGCGCTTTTACGGCAAGTTAGCATATTTGACCCTGCGTTAGCCTGAAAATTTTCTCTTATTTTCTATCAGAATTTTTTTGAAAAATGGTAGTTTTGGCTTGAATTTTGATATTGTGAAGAGATACAGGACCTAGATTTCAGTGATGACGATCGAGATGTTCTAGAATTTCTAGAATATACATGAGCGGCGCCTCTACCACTTAAGATTGCGGTCAAATGCCTTTGACGATTTTGAAGACGTCGACTTCTTTGCCTGTTTTAGCTTGCCAAAAGAAACAATTTTATTTGTTTTAGAACAAATCGAGCATAGACTTAAATTCCCAACAATCCTGTCTGTTGGGAATTCGAGTATATTGTTTATTTTTACACAGACCAAACTTTCCGCTAGTGGGTATTCACACCAAAGTAAAAAGTTAGCATGCGATGTGCGACTTGCTGCTAGAAGGCAAGACGCATGCTTATACGTACTTATTTCAGAACCTTTAGAAATATATGGCTGATTTCACACCGGAGTGATTGGAACATGTCGTATATTTTGATAGTTTGCGACGCATTATTTGCAAAACCTACAAACGTTGTTTATAGATTTTTGACTTGTTTCGTAGAGAAGTGTCGATAAATTGGGTACCTAGCACTGTGCGACTTTGGTATGAGTGTAAACATTGAAAACGAAGTTGCAACGTGCTTCTTGCTTTCTAGCCCACCTACGGAAGTGGAAAAAAAATTAAAAAATAACATAAATATGTACGGTTATGAGCAGAAAATGTCAAAAAAACAATAAAAATGAGCTGGCAACATTGCATAAGTAATGCCAACCTTCGAAAAACCCGAGAGTTCACCAGCCCTGGGTTACAAAAGCTTGGTAGGTAGTTAGCCCAAAGTTAGAGTTGACTCAGGGTCAGCAAATTCTGCGAGTTATCCTCTTATTGATAAACCGGCCCTAACCGAGTTGGGCCTATTTTACGCCAATTTTTCCAACTTTCGGCCACTTAGGGATCGCAGTGTTCTTAGATAAGAATATTTATTTAGCTTTACTTTTCCGGTAACCAAGTATCGATATTCTACGTTTTCGTCGAGTCATCCAACAATGTAGAAAAAAACGCGGTTTTGCGTAATCCGACGAAGCAATGTACCTTGTCAACTGAAAATACGACTCCATCAATAGTAATATGCACGATGCAAAATCACATTTCTCTATGAAAGATTAGATTTCCGATGGTTTGTCTTTCAGGTTTCGTCCCTGTCAGATGTTGTCTCCACTAATAACTCCATTTCTAAGAAAGTTTTACTCTTCTATGAATAATTAAAGCACACAAAATTCTGCGTCGAATGAGTACCATAAGACCTACTGGAAATTATCTCAAGTCGTTAGGAAAATATGCAAAGTCAAATAACGACGATATTTTCCAATTCTATTTTCACAATGTCAAAGTTCAGAAGCTGACTGAAGCAATTGGTCCAATTTAAGGTCATCGTGATCCAGAAATTCGTCCAATACGTCATCTTAGTCAGATAGCAATACTTCGTCGTCATTCAAGTTTGATTTGTCACCGATTACATCTGGTGTGTGAATGCAGGACCTGCTCTGCAGCTATAACATATTGGGGAACATTTTAATTCCTTGCTTCCTGCAACCACGAGCATTTCAACAACACCACTTCAAACATTTGCACGCAGGCTTGTTACTGAGTAGCCGATGCTAAGTAATCTTCCAACCCCATTGAAGTGAGTCCATCGAATGACCATTCCACAAATTAATTTTCAAAAAAGCCTTCATTGCTTGCAGTCTATTCCTAGCAGCTTCTTCAGTTGCAGAAAGCGTAAAGCCAAGTTGAAATTATTCTGTACCAAGGATTTCGGGAACCAGTTTAAAGCGTGATTCATTCAAAGAGGAAGATTGAAGAAGCGATCTGGTCTACAAAGCCGCATGCAATTACTTTTTCACCGGCAACACCAATTATTTCATCTGCAGTCACGTCAAGGTTTTTGAATATATCGAAACGTCGACAGTCCATTGTACCTCCGCTTCATCTCATGCTCATTCAAGGACCACAGAAAATGTTACACACTCCGCATGTGTAATTGTGGTAGGAGAAGACATAGATCTTTTGGTAATTATTACTGCATTAGGTCCTATTAGCGATCGGTTGTTTTTGATGAAGCCTGGAAAAGGAAAGTCAGAGACCATCTTTTAATCCCCGAGACACTTTAAAATGTCAAATAAAGTTAAAGAAAATATATTATTCCTTCACGCGTTCAACGGATGCGATTCAATGTCAGCAATTTTCAGGCAGGAGAAGATGAAGTTTGTGAAGATGCTTGACAAAGATGCGGAGGTACAACGGACTGTCGAGATATTCGAAAAGCTTGACGCGACTGCAGATGAAAAAGTAATTAGGGCTTTGTTTGACAGATCGCTTCTTCAATCTTCCTCTTTGAATAAAACACGCTTTAAACTGTCCATGAAATCCTCAATGCAGAATAATTTCAATTTTGCTACTCCTTCTCCAACTGAAGAAGCTGCTAGACTGCACGCAATGATGGCTTTCCTACAAATTAATTTGTGGAATGATCATTTGATAGACTGAATTCAATGGGGTTGCATGGGCAACTTTGCTTGATAACATTGCACGGAAATGTTTGTGGTGTTGAAATCCTTGTGGTTGCAGGAAGCAAGGAATGAAATGTTCCCCAATATGTTCTAACTGCAAAGAAGCATTCTGCACGAACACACCAGATGAAATCGATGACAAATCAAACTTGAATGATCACGAAGTGTTAGCTGACTAAGATAACGTATTGGAAGAACTTCTGGGATGACGATGACCGATGACCTTAAATTGGACCAATTGCTTTAGTCAGCTTCTGCTTCCAAACGCAGCAAATCTAATTAACGTTGTATTTATATAATTTTGTATTTATTTTTTGTTAACCATTTTTCGCATATACGATTAGCACGCATATAGACCGCAAACAGAAAATTTGTGCGAACTCTTTTTATACACGTAAATGAAAAGATTAAAACCATTTCCAGCTTTCCGAGAATTAATTCGGCTACTCCCCCTCGGCCTATGTTGTCTCGCCTAGGAGGGTTTTTCAAGGTTTAATTAAAAATTTTCTCTGAAAAATTTAACAACATCTCCCTCAAAATTCAATTCAATTATTAAATAATAAGAACTTCAAGTTTGATTTCTAAGTAGGTAGTAGTACCTACACAATTCGAAGTATTTTGTCAAAAGTATCAAACAAATTGTGATATGCCACAAGTCATTAGAAATTGGAAAAATCAAAGGAAACGGATGGCTTCAATTTTAAAGCTACAGCTTTATTTTTCAATTGAAGCTTTTTCTATTTTCTACAAAAAAAGTCTGAAGTTTTCTTCGTCTTGTTTCTTTTTCGTGATGATACTGGATCATATTTGGTAAATGAACGATTTGCGCCAAAAATTGAAACTGAAGCTAAAAGGAACAAAAACAACTTCCAAATCCATACACTAAAAATCTTCATTAAGATAAAAGTGCCTTAAAGAATCTCCTGGCAAAATTTTTCTCAGTTACATTTTTTTTAAATTATATTGATTCAAGAAATCCATAACTCCTTTCCCAAGTGCATTTCTTTTCATTTAGCTAAAAACTTTGCAATATTTTTATAACATTATTATAAAACTTCGAATTTAAATTTATAATCATAATATAATTTAATTTTGGTTAGAATAACTTGAAAATAAATAGGCGAAAATCCTGACAGATCACAAAACCTATGATGGGTATATTTTATTTTATGGGTCAGGTAGGTACCTACTATCAACACGTATTTTTTACTGGTACAATATTTTAGCAAGAATTGCAAAAAATGTATTGAAACATTTCAAGTCTTTAGATTTTAAAACGAAACATGACAACAAATAAATTAAATTTTTTATCTAAAACCGTCTTGACAAATTAAGTAAAATAAATTGCAGTCATAAAACATATTGCATAAGACAGGAATATAGAAAAATAGATTACCTGTTGAGTATCAGCAGCAAAACTAACAAGTCCAAAAACCCCTAGACGGTACCCAGAACTAAATAAAAAAAGCACCACTATTCACTGGCCAAGCACACAAACGACTGAAAAAATAAATAAATTAATATCGACCAATGATATATTTTTTTTTTTTTTAATTACGTGAAAAGTAAAAATAAAGTACCGGCAGATAATTAGTTCCGATAGTACTACTGGTGATAGTACTTAATCAGCTGTTTACTGATAGCGGGCCGCGAGGTACTGACAAAGTTGTACACAGTACGCCAAAACGATATGTAGATCCCCTCTTCTTTCTTTTTCGGGGCTCGTCTCGTCTGTGTCGTCATAATGTTCTAAAATATACTTGACAGCATTTTAAACATTGTTATTGCATCGTGTAAAACATTAATTGATAGAATAGTACCTATCTGGCTGATAGTTAATGTGGGTATTTTGTTCCTCTTTGTTTCAAAAACAAACTTCTCAGATTCGATTTTTAGAAACAAACAAACAAACACATAAACAGTGATTTTTTTTAGTTGTTATGTAAAAATGTCTTCAACAACATCGCAATTAAAATCCGGTTACAAAGGACCCCGCACACCTCTTATGGGTTTTTGGTTTTCTGTCAAACTCAATGAAATTTTGATATGTGGTATATTTTGACTTACTGATAAAAAGTTCTCATAGGCCCAATCCGATACTATGAATAGTTTCCGAAATACAGGTGGTTTAATGTCCAAGAAATGTACACATTTTATATGCATTCACATCTATCTGTAACCTATTAATGGGTCTGCCAGAATGAATTTCATTGGTTGAAACTAGTTTTCCGACTGTTTCTGACTGTTTTCGACCAATCAAATTCGCTCTAACGGGTTTGTGATTTTTGCAGAAACAGACCTATTATTAGGTGACAGGTAGATGTGAATACATATAAAATGTGTACATTTCTTGGACATTAAAGTACATGTATCTCAAAAACTAATCATAGGATTGGTTCAGGCCCATGAGAACTTTTTATCGGGGAGTCAAGGTCTAACACATATCAAAATTTCATGGAGTTTGACAGAAAACCAAAAACCCATAAGAGGTGTGCGGGGTCCTTTGACGAATTTTATATTCATTCAAATGAGGTAACTTCTGAAACAAAAATTCCGCAAAAACATTTAATCTTTCCAACATTGGAGCATTTGGCATCGTTAGGCTATTTTTCCTATCAAAAACTGTTCTCGATTTACTCGTGACACTGATAATACAAAACAAACGAATAACAGAACATTGACAAAACCAAATAGAACAAAACGTATGCATACAAATACAATATAAAAGTTAGAAATAAATAAATCCTGCAGAACCCTCAAGCATGGCTAATGGTACTTCTTTTGACTTAACTTTTACTGGGTCATTAGCGCCGCTTAGGTATTATTTTTCCATTGTGTTCGACAGGTAGACATACCACCATTGTAACATAATGAAATATATTAACTCTCAAAATATAAAGGAAACGTGTGCTTCCATCAGGGAACAGAAAATGAGAGAACAAAACAATGGTCGAAAACTAAAAGGAATTAGTTTTGTATTAGCATAAGTAATAAAATATCTAAAAGTTTTGCCTTATTGTTAATTGGAAAAGGTGAGCTGTTGCAAGAACATGATGAGGCTGTAATTATGGAGACGAAACGATATACGTACATGGCATGCTAAACAGCCTTTATCTCGAAAACGATAGAAGATTAGAAAGGGAAAAGATAAACGTATTTAACGTAGAAAACAAAAAATCAAATGAAATACAGGGTGTTCCATTTAGAAATTTTAAATTTGGCACTGTGGACCGCTTCTGAGACACCTTGTCCTAAATTTGAATAATGCTGCAGGTATCATCATCTTCATCATCATCATCAAACAGCCTCTTTTTACGTCCATTGTTGAACATAGGCCTCCTCTAAAATTTTCCAGTTGTCTTTGTTCTGAGCGGTTGCGATCCAATTTGATGAGATCCTTTTTTGGTCGTTTGTATTCTTCGGTTGCGTTTGTCGGCTCTTGTTTCCCACTCAATGAGTTTCTTCGTCCATCTCCCGTCCTCAGATCTTGCGACGTGGCCTGCCCATTTCCACTTTTGTTTTGCGATACGTTCAACAATATCGCCTTCCCCAGTTCTAATGCGGATCTCGTTATTCCTTACTCGGTCTTTTAGAGTCAATCCAAGCATGGATCCATCCATTTGTCCCTGTGTTACTCTCAACTTTTGTGCTGATGCTTTGATGAGAGTCAATGTCTCTGCACCATAGGTCAGGACTGGTTGAATGCTTTTCGTTTCAGAGATATTGGAATGTCAGCCCTAAACACATCCCTCATTTTGTCGAATGCTGCTCATCCCAAAGTTGTTCTTGTTAAGTTATCTCTGTGAGGTCTCATTTCATGACCCAGGTATTTGTACTTGTCCACTATTCTTATGTTATTATTGCCTATCTGTATTTGCTCACTGGGAACCAGATAAGTCATCATTTCGGTTTTGAAGAAGTTCATCTCTAGGCCCCCTTCTTGCGTATACTTTTGAAGTTGCTGAAGCATTTCTTTAGCTTTGCCCAGACTGTTTGATATTAGGACAATATCATCTGTAAAGCGAAGATTATTAAGACTTCTCGCATCGATGATTATTCATTTTCAATTTCTTAAAAGCATGTTCGAGAACAGCTTGGGTGACATAGTGTCCCTGTCGGATTCCTCTTTTGATTTTAATTTTTCTGGTGGTGGAGTGAAGATTTACGGTGGTCGTATACAGTGTGGTTTTTTAAGTGTGCAACATATGGGATTTTTTTTTAGTATGTAATAGCACAACCAAAATACAAACAAGGTCAAAAGTTGGTGCATGTCTGGTAATCATATTTGGTGCACTTAGAATGGTTGCAAGTCAAACAGCATACAGGGTAGCTCAAAAAATATCAAAATTGTACTGTAAGGTACCCTTATTTTAAAAAATTCAGCAAAATTTTATTGAGAAAAGTTGTTTGGAATTGAAAGTTATGCCTAAATACCAAAACATGGCCTCCTAAGATTTTTTTATTTTTTTTTCTAAAATCAATAATAATTTCTATATTTTTTTTATTTTTTATTTCCGCCCTTGATACTTTCAAAAATTAATTGAAAGCAAATCAATTTTACATAACTTTGTTTAAATTCAAGCATATTTGTAAAATTAACTTAGATTTTTAATTTTTCATGGAATCACAAAGTTCATGTTTGTTGCAATGATATTCAACACAATTTTAAAATGTCGCAATTTTTTTTTTTCAACAAGTTAAAACATTATTAATGATAATAGGCATATTGAAAAAACTCTCCTTAAAACTCTCCCATTTTGCTGAATTTTCTAATACAAGTGTACTTTACAGTACAATTTTGATATTGTTTGAGCTACCCTGTATGCTGTTTGACTTGCAACCATTCTAATATGATTATCAGCATCTAATATGATTATCAGACATGCACCAACTTTTGACCTTATTTGTATTTGGGTTGTGCTATTACTAAAAAAATCCCCATATGTTGCACACTTAAATAACCACACTGTATGTTTTCAATAATTTCACAATATAGGTGATCAACTCGACTTTCTTGTAGTGATCTCATCAGGATTGCAGGAAGTTCTACGTTATCGAACGGCTTTTGGAAGTCTACAAACACCAATACCAACGGACGGTTGTAATCAATACTCTTTCCTTAGAGAGTTTTGACACACTGGAGGTGATCGTTGGTACCAAACCCAGAGCGAAAACCAGCCTGTTCCCGGACTGATAAAAAAATAGACTTATTGGTCTGTAGTTATGTTCTATCATCTTTTTTTTGTAGCAAGATCATACTTGAGCTGCTCTATCCAGGTATAACACCCTGTAGCACAATTACTTTTTGTATATAGTTACACCCTGTATAAGTAATTACATTCCACTGATAAATGACATCAGTTGTAGTGAAATTATTTACCCTGTAAGTGGCTTAATTGATTTTACGCACAAAAAGCTAATTTAAAAAATTGGCTATAAATTGACTCAATAATTACACGAAAAGAATCAATAATTGTATACCATATTACCTAAACACAACATTTTTCTGGAAAAAGACAACATGAGGTGATTTATTTACGATGCAATTAAGGTAGTTTTCGTTTGAATTCCAGATTTTGATTAGCCCCAATTAGACCCGCTTGCGGCGTGCTTTTAATTGAAAAATTGCATTTTGTCGTAATTAATTAGTAACTACACGAAATTCAAATTAAAACGACGAATACTTATGTTTTTCTTAACATTGTCTCAACAATTTTCGTTGGTCTGATACGCTGAAACAGTTAATTTTTAATGTGTTGTGTAGTGAAGGAAATGTGGGTTCTTTCTTAATTGAGTCCCTTGCACGTGTAAATTTGCAATTAAACGTCGAACTTCTAAACGGAGTGTGGCTTATAAAAATTAACCATTGGTTTTGTAGATTTTAATCTTGGATTCGCGATAGACATTTTTGGAGAAAAATACTTGTGACAAAGAGAAGAATGTCTTATTTGCCGTCTGTATTCTGTTTTGTATTCCGCCGATGTGTTTATTTCAACTACCAAGTATTTCAAGCTCTCAACCACTTCAATGTCGTCCTCAACTGTAGTGCATCTGTCATTGTTGTTTTTTTTTATTTGGATCTTTGTGTTTATTTCGAGTCCGATGTTTTTGACTTCTTTCTTTAGATTCATATATATTTCTGATGTGTCTTCTGCTCTGACTACGAGACATGATGTCGTCTGCGTATGCCGCTAATTGTATCTGACTTAGATGTTAATAGGTTTGATCTTCCTATGTCTATTTTTCGGATAATGTACTCTAGCGCCAAGTTGAACAGTGTGGGAGCTAGTCCATCTTCTTGCTTGAGCCCTTTATTTATGTTGAACATGTCAGTCATTACGTTCCTAATTCGCACTGTCGCAGTTGTAGGGTCCGTTGTGACTTTTACTAGATATTCCAGTTCTTCAGTTTTCAGGGATTCGCTCTTCTATCCAGATCTTTGAAACTAAAGCATGCATCACCTCCGCTGTTATGTGTTCCTCTCCTGCTTTGAACAGTTCCGAGGGAAGTGTGTCAGTCAATTCCTGGCGCCCTATTGTTGCGCTGCGCTCTAATTGCCTCCAACGTTGGGGTCTCGATCACTTCTTCTCTTTCCCCTGCATCTGGTATTTCCAGTGTTGATCATTTACTTGCGATTTCAATACATTTTGGAAGTATGGTTTCCATGTCTCCTTGATTTG